CACTTTTGACCATTGTTCTTTATAGCCTTTATCAGTTGCTTGTCAGTCAGTTGTTAAAGATTGGGTTCATGAATTTGGGTGACATAGTAGTTGAGTTCAATCCTGAGGCCAGGTAGTGTATACTTAGACTCAATGAAAATAGAGGCAAGTAATAATAGTAGTACTAAATATAAGAACTAGATAAGATATCCCTAGACATGTCCAGTGGAATTGGATATATCTAACTCTGTAAATTAGTAGGACCTTGAATAAGTTCTTGCTGTTTTCCAACAGATGGCATTTTCAGAACTGCATGCATGTAGTTTCAGATGGTAACGCATCTATAAGGAAGTATTAAAGCAAGCTTGAAATTCGGTGTATGTTTTCGTTTTTCATAGCGTTAAACATGTCAGTGTATTTGCAGGGAATTTAGACGCTTCAAAATAATGCTGAAGATAAAAAAACGCTTTAGCGCACCGAAAAAGTTCCAAGACAAAGAATTGGCAGCATTCATGAAGACTTTTCAAAGCGTTTGAAAGCATTAGGAATGATTCAAAATCAAGGACATTGGGTGCTGTATTAGTTGAAGCTGAGAGATGTCAAATGCCATCTTGTAACATGAACGGCAGAAAAGGGATTTTTTTTTTTTTTTTTTTTTTTTCATCAATGTCTGCAACAAAGCTAAATATCCATGATTCAAAGCTTCTGCTCTGCATTTATTCAGATCAGCTGGGTGTAGTTAATTGTGAACTGCTCAAACTGACTGAAATGATCAGAGGAGATTGCTATCAACTAAAATTGATGCATTTGAGCTGAGCATTGAAGAAAAATCAGCAGTTATGAGCAGACACACAGTGACTTTTGCAACATGACAACGCTAGGCCACATGTTACAAAACTGGTGAAAACCTACTTGGTAATGCTTAAATAGGAAGTCCTACCCCACTCACCATATTCACCAGACATTGCCCTGTCAGATGGCACATGGCCTGGCTGAGCAGCACTTTCATTCTTATGAAGATTCAAAAAAATGGGTTGACTTGTGGTTAGCCTCAAGACTTGTTTTTCCAATGTGGAATTCAAATACTGCCAGAAAGATGGGGAAAAGTAGTAGCTAGTGATGAACAATACTTTCAATGACCTGTTTCTTTCTAAATAAAACACTACTTTTCATGAAAAATCAGCGAGAACTTAGAGCCTAATAAATGAACAGTTAGGTTTAACATTTCCTGAAGGTTAGCCAGATTGAGAAGCAACTGATGAAGACTGAAGGGCACAGTGTCTGAGATGTGATAATGACAAAAAAGATGCAGGTAAGCTTGCATGTAAATGAGGTAATTATTCAATTTCTTCGGCAAACTATAGAATTTACGAAAATTCAGTCCAATTTGTCATGTTAATTTTGAAAAGTTTACACCATCTTGTCTATTTAGATTTACTAAACCAAATGGTGTTGGTTAATTTTGCACAGTGCTTGTACTTTGATTCCAGCAACAATTCCTAATCTACTGTTTGTGATCAGCTTATTCATTTTAGTTTGATACTTCATGAAAATGTATCAAATGAAATATGTTAAACTCTATTTAAATTTAATTTTATAGGGTGCAGCAGAAATACCTCCCACATAATGAAAACATTAGTGGTAATGGTGTCTTCGTCTAGCTAATATCTTACCATTATGTGGGAGTTACATTTGCACCCTGTATTAGTCTGTTTAATTTACACTCTTCATGTTTTTTATTTTTAAATATTCCTCCTATTCCCTTTAATCCAAATTTGTGCAAGGTCCACATATTAATGACTAGCAGTAGAGCCCGGCGTTGCCTAGGGATATAACAGTAAGAGATAGATCAAGTATCCACCATCATAAAGACTGAAAAATAAAATTGACAAAGATTATTGTTTAAGGTTGACAGACACACATGTCTTGATTATATTTTTTTTTTTTTTTTTTTTTTTTTTTTACGAATTGGTCAAACCCAAACTCGAACAAAAACATTGTTTTCAATCGTTATGAGTCTACCGATTGAATAGAATTTTATTATAAACAATTGTCTTGTAAATGGAATTTTTAAAGCATTCTGAATGTAAAAATAAAGAAAAGTGTGCAAGACAATAAGAAACACTACCTGCCAAAAAAAAAAAGTGAATTTTTGTTTTATCGGCTGAAAAATATAGGTAATCCGACCCCATATTTAAAGGTACCCACACATACAAACAATCCGATGTGAATTGTCCCCCTTCCATTTTCACGATGTCTCTTAACCGTGTTTTCAAATTGATTTTGTGCAAAAACAATTGTATTTTTCCCATTTTTGGCACTGTTAGAACCACCACAAGGTAATTTTATGTACTCCTGTGAAGTTTTGTTGAAATCAGTTGAAAAATGTAGGAAATCCGATCCAATATATAAACGTTACAGACACACACAATCTGCGTTTTATAATAAGATTCATTTTAGCTTTGTAATACTGAAAACTGATAAAATCTAATAGAACTAACTTAATTGCACAAACCACTAGTTATATACAGGATTCTATTTGCTAGTTTGACTATAATAGTAAAACTTCATTGTCACTAACAGATTTTGATTTTGAACTAGTTTTATGAATATCAGCTGGTAAATAAGCATGCATAAGCTTATCAGAAACAAGTTAACGTAAGTATGGTGAACCAATTTTCTGGAATCTTGGAAGGAAACAGCATTGCAAAACTGGAATGGATTGAGATATATGCTATTCTTTAAAAATTGAACATAATAAATGAACATGTAAAAAATTTTTTACAATTATTTATTTCCAATTCTCGTGCGTTTTTATATATATATATATATATAATAATTATATGGATGCCATCAATTTTTTAAATGAAGGTTGTTTTCAGTTTACAAAGAAATTTTGGCTAGTGTGATGCAGATCTCAAAATTCTTTTGTAATTTTGAAAGACACTAAGTAGCTTTGTATCCAATGATTACTAGATTATTGCAAAAGTAGACATGTTGAAGATAAACAAATAGGTAACAAGTGTTGTGAAAATATTAAAATAAAACAATTTAGAAAAAGTTAAAACTGAATTAATGAAAATTTGAAATGGAATATTGATCCTTTTATAAGTTTAGTACCTTTCTTGCAATGTCTCATTGCTGAGTTCTTTTGCTCTGTCTGGAAGTAGCAAAAATTAAAGTATTCCTTTAAAAAAAAAAACCCAAAAAACCTGGATATGATTTACAGAGATACTATTTAAGTTTGTTTTATTTCTGCTATTGTTTCATTGATAAAACAATGTTCATAATTTACATCCTAGAAATACTAAGACTTTACATCTATGCACGTACTATTCTTTGGTTTGAAATAAAATTTTAAGTAACTTTTTGGTACTTGTTTTTATTTTCTGTTGTACTTTCAAATTATTTGTCCAAATGACCTTGATATCTGTCTCTAATAAAAGAATTTAACTTCTCATGCTTGATTCTCTCTTCCTGGGAATAAACAAGTGTTGTCACATACAGACTTTAACCTGCCTACCTGGTCAGGTAGGCTGGCTTCACTTAAGCACTGTTGTTGCTTTAGCCTCCAATCTTGTCTGTTTACCTGGCCAAGACAGATACCTTCCTCCATGTGACCAAACCCTCTTACCTGGCCAATTAGTCTACCCCACCCCTTTCTACTCTGCATGTTTACATTCCGAAACTATCACTGTCTGCCTATGGCAAAGCTAAGTGAACAAGTGATTGATCTATTTTAAACTCCAAAACACTTCTTTTTTTTTTTTTTTTTTTTTTTTTTCATTCTCTTTAATAGCTCAGTAGTTACAACTTATGTCAGGCAGTCACAAAGTCTTGAGTTCAATTTCTTGTTGATTAGAACAGAATATTGAAAAAACAAGTTGAAGAAAATTCATTGTTTTTGTTACAATGAAATGGTTTGTGCATCAACTAAACTTGTTTTTTTTTTTTTTTTTTTTTTTTTCTTTCTTCTGTGAAAGAATTATATAAGAAAAATATAAGTTACTGACTTGGGCAAATAAATTGAACTTTTTTCTTTTTCTTTCACAACCCCTCTTTCCTCAAAGTTGCTGCAGGATAAAATCTTATAGACTAGACTTTATATTAAAACTAAAAGGAACCAGTTTTGCTTGTGGGTATGTATAAGTTAATGAACATCTGACTTAGCACCTCCATGAGATTCACTCTATTGTTGTCAGTTTAGTGTTCTGTCATAAAAAAAAAAAAAAATGAAGTGTAAGAATGCCATAAATGATAATGGTAATACTAGTTCTTTCCTTATAAGGAAACCTTTGGCTTTCATTGACCAAGCATTTAGACTTACTGATTGAAATTTATAAACTCTTTCAGAAAACTTTTAAAAAAATGTTTCTCAAATCAATGTTAATGCTCTTTCCAGTATTGATGAAGGTTTCCTTCCTTGCCTTTTTGTTTGCAATATGGTGGAATGTCAGTATCTTGATGAATACAAGTTTTCAGATTCTGGTAATTTTCAGGCACTATTTTCATGGGTTTCAAAATTTGGGAAGTGGAAGCAAATTAAACAATACTTGCCCAAAAAGTAAAAAGCTTCTGTCTGCTTTTGACTATATTTTATTTCCATTCAATTTATCCATTTGAATATGATACAAAAAATATTTTTGCTTGTTTCATCGCATTAGTTTTTTTTTTTTTTTTTTTTGTTCCAATTGAAGTTGGATACATGAAAAAAAAAAGATGTTTAGTTACCTAATTTATAGCCAATCAAAAATATTTGAAATATGCCGATGCCTACTGCTTGATTAAATGTATGTTGAAAGCGAATGAAAAGCATCATAGACTGACTTATTGATGAGTATTAATCTTCACTGTGTGTCCCATTTTTGGGTAGACTACAACAGCTGAAATGGGACAGTAACAATAAAGATGAGAACACTTGTCAGTAAATTGGTTTATAATTTTCTCAAGTCAAATACAGGAAAAGAAATATTTGACTTACAAAAAAAAATTGCTAATGTTCCCTTTTGAATTCTTTTCAGATGGTAATACAGTTCAGTGATAAATGTGCTGATTGTGATCATGTATGTGGTGTGAAGCAACGGGAGCTAGAACGCTTTGTCCACAAATTCAATCTGTTGACTCCTGAAGAAAAAAGGGCTGCTATGATGGTTACAAGTAAAGGTATACTGCATCTTTTGTCACAAACAGTTCCCTGTGTTGGCTGTCGGAGAAGGTAAGTATTTCTCTCTCATGCATATATATATATATATATATATATATATATATATTGTGTACTTTTTTAAATACTTTCAAAAGCACTTTTTAAGACACATAAAAATAACTTTATTTACTCTGTTTTATATATATATATATATATATATATATATATATAGTACTTATTAGAAAGTGCTCAATATCAGAGATAGAGCCAACACATTTGGTTGGATTGATGTGAGTTTGTGACCCTGGGTTTCACACTTTTGCGATTGTCAGACAAACTGATTTTTATTTTTAAAATTTTGGGTTTATGTAGATTGTGTGTATTAGTGTTATTATGGGAGTGGGGGGGAATCGTCATTGTGCTAACGCAAACATAGATGCAAAGATTGGAAGTGTAGCTACAATTCCACTACACTTCCAATCTTTGAATTTCAACATGCAAATGCGTATGTATAGACACAACACCGCCCATATACATACATATGTCAAATCCGAAACTGTCCACATGTGTTTATATATGTATGAGTCCCGATTATTTTACCAAGTGTGTATCTGTGTTCATGCCTCATTGGGCGTATGAACATGCATCTATTTTTGCGTTAGCACGATGACAATCCCCCCCCCCACTCCCATAATAACACTAATACATGCAATCTACATAAACCCAAAATTTTTAAGAAATTAATCAGTTTGTCTGACAGTCACAAAAGTGTGAAACCCAGGGTCACAAACTCACATCAATCCAATCAAATAATATATATATATATATATATATTTTCCCCCTCCACATTCTTGGTTTCTGATTTTTCAGATTTTTTTTTTTTTTCTTCTCTTAGATTGAAGAAAAATTACTACTTTTTCTGTTGGAAGTTACCTTACATATTACCCATCCTCACTATTAAATGATTTCTCTTTCTATGTGATTCATGTCTTAACACCTATAATAAAATGGTGAAATTGAATCTGAAAACCCACTTGATTTTCTGAAATTCAAATAGTTTAATATTGGAAAGCATTTTGTGTGCCTGTCTTTCAAGTATTGAAATGTCATAAGTGCTGTTTCTGATTAGATATTTTACCTTTCAGTGTTGAGCGTCTATTTAACCAACTGGTCCAGTTCCAACATCCTGCCCTAGAACCACTTATTATCACAGACGACGCTGTGTTGTCTGTAAAACCTGAGTACCTCTGTGATCCTAAGGCCTTGTATATTTTGTTTTACATCCATGGGTAAGTTCGTTATTTTCATGTGTTAAAAGGATTATATCAGTAAACAAAATTTCAGCTGTAGCTTTTATGATTAATTTGATAATTGCATTTCAATATGCAGGGAGTGTTTTTCAGATTAAGATGAAAGTGACTCTTGCTTAGAATTCCATTATTATTGTACAGTAAAAATCCATGTGTATTTAATCTCTTCCTTGGTTGCTTTTTATTTTTTTTTATTGCTTTGTTCTATTGTAGTTTGGATTCATTACACAATTGAACCTGATTTAACAAAACAAAAAACTTAATTGTTGATGCAAATATATACGAACATTAGACATTTAATTAAATTTTAGTCTCTTTTCAATAGAAATAAATTTTCCCTTGATTTGTGAATTACTTCCCTTGGTTTCGATTAATATAAAAAGGAGTTGAACAAATAATGAATAAATTCTTGCATTCAGTATATTTGTGCAATCCTTGTGAATAACTTTATGAAATGTAAACAATACTTTCTAAAAAGTTAAAATAGTTTGAGATTTGAAGTTTTATGTTGAAATTTTTAGTTATACATTACTACCTTTGAGTAAAACAATGTTTTAATGGCTTAATTAAAAAAAAAATTCAAAAGGCTTACTTTGAATATTTAGATCTAATGATTTTTTTTTTTTTTTTTTTTTAGCTGTTTCTGTAGTTCTAAATATTTCCTTTAATATATTTCAGGGCAAAATTGAATTCTGTGATGGAATCTATACCCAAAAGTAAAAAAAACAAACGATGTAATCTTCATTCATTAGATACTCACAAAACGAGGTCATTTGCGTAAGTAACTTCTCTCTCTATTCATGTTTCTTTCGCGTGTGTTCTGCCAACTGTTGCACATTGGAGGGAGGGGAAGTAGTTGTTTCTTGAATATCTCTCATATAATTTTTAAAAGCCTTATATATTAGTAAGAAATAAAATTAAGTTATTCATACTATTTTTAATGGAGACTGCATGCAATCATCAGGAAGTTTGAATTTATTTATTGTTGCTGTTAAAAGAATTTTATAATGCATACAATATTTGTATACCATGCAATATGCAAAAATATTCAGAAAAACGTTAATGAAATTAAAAAATTTGGAGTTAAAAAAAAGTATTTGTATGACAATACCTATTTAATACTTTGTAGCATATTCCTTACTCAATTCAAAGCAATCAGTCTTTCTGTAGCTTTTAATCAATGATTTGCAAGTTTCCATTGATATTTTACTCCATTCTTTGCATATTCTCTTTACATCCAGGATGTTTCTCAGAGCTCTTTCATTAGCTTGAATTTTTAATTAAAACCACAAATTCTCTGTTGGATTCAAGTCTGGAAACTGATGGCCATTTAAGCGTATTGACAATTGTTTTCAATAAGCCTTTTTATATATATATATATATATATCTATATATATATATAGAGAGAGAGAGAGAGGGGGAGCTGTATGATTAACATCATTATCTTGTTGCAAAAGCCATACATTTGTGTATCCAAAATTTACTACCGAGTCAAACAAATTGGTCCAAAACATTGATATATTTTCAAGTTCATTCTACCATTTATTATCTCTAAATTATACATACCATTAGCAGAAAAACATCCCCAACAATGATATTGCCACCATCAAATTTCACCATTGGGTTTGTGCTCTTTGGTGCCTATGTATATTCTCTTTTCTCCAAATGTGATTCCTTGAATTACACCCAAATAGTTCAATTTTTGCTTCATCTGTCCATAAAACACTTTCCCAAAATGGTTCAGATTTATTCTTATGCTCACAAATTTTAACTGGGCATACCTGTATTTCTTCAATAGCAGTGGAGATTTTCTTGGAGAACGCAATCCTAGTTGACTTCTATGAAATTCTTATTGCTTATTGTTTGCTTCGTAACAATACCTGATGCTTTTAATTCTTTCTGTATTTCTCTGAGTTGTCATTGATTTGTTCTCAACAGTTTTCACCTTTTTATAACTAAGTAATATTAAGTAATAATGGACTAATAGTAGTAAATGGTATATTCAAGATATCTATTATTTTCCAATAGCTTTTGTCCTCCTTTCTATTTTTAATGATCAATTCTTTTTGTGAATTTGATAGTTCCATGATAATTATATATGATTGTGTAAGTAATCTTAAATAAGAAATGGATTCTGGAATATTCTAGATTGTTCCGGTAATAAGAAAAATGGAAGAATCTAGCAAAATCTTACCTTTTATTTACATAATTCTTTGTAATTTAAGCCTTTTGATATTAAAGACATTTCTATGAATATTTTTTGCCTTGAAATTTTATAAATAACACATAATTTCATTTATAACATTTTTCTAATTGTTTTTTGCAGAGTTATGCAATGGTGTAGAAATATTGTACGGATTTTATTTTTTTTTATAACTCTGTTAATTAAAAAATTTCATGGTTTACGAATGTTTATTTTTTTCCCCACAGTAAATGTGTAAAAAAAAAAATTTTTTTAAAGTTTCCAATATGTATCGAGGTAATGTAGTACTGTTTTATATATCTGGCTGTCTTTTATGATTATACAGTACATGCACTAATAATATATATATATATATATATATATATATATATATATATATAACAATGGTGGGCTGTTTAAAGTGGTTTTTAAAGGTAGCTGGTGAAAAGAACAACTCTGTAAAAGAATACAAAATTAACTGTGTAAAAAAAAAAAAAAAAAAAAATTTTAAAACCTCTTGTGTGAAAAACTAATAGGACTTATCAAAATATCACTTTCATATATGCCCTCATTTTTTATGGTATGGGTAAACGGCCTTATATTAGTTATAAGCAGGTCATCATTGAAACATGGAACTAGCTTGTCCATATTTTGCTTCTACATGTATACTAAGGTAGGAAATCCGAACAGATTAAAACATACACTTTAATTTTTATTTTTTTTTATTTTTTTATTTTTTATTTTTTAGCAGATTATCTCCCTTTGTCAAATCATATATTCTGTCCAAATAGTGGCAGATGAGCCACTTTCAGCTTTGTGGGATTTATACGCATATATTAGACAAATTGCTTTTATCGTTGCAGTTAATATAAAAGATTAAAAATAAGATTGAATCAAAATTTTTATTTTTTTTATTCAAAATTAATTATATTTTAAGTTTAAACTTTTTACATATAAAAAAAAAAAAATAAGATTAAAAAGAAAATGAACAAGCTTTGTCATTTAAGTATGAACTGAAATCACATTGGATTCAATCAAAATTCTTTCTGATGACTTTATTTTATTTTTATTTTATTTTTATTTTTATTTTTTTTTGTGTGTGTTGCGGGAAGAAATAGTATGACCTTGATTAAACTAAGGGTTACTGTGTTTCAGCTCCTGGACATCTTAAGCATGTCTTACCATCTCCTCTTAAATATTATATGCCACATGTGTAATAATACCATACTGTTTTTAAGTATTGAATTGGCTGTATTCAGTTTTTGTTAACATCAAATGGTCTTGGAGATGTTTGTAATGTTCCTCTTATCAGTTTTCTTTCTTTTTCAATTATTTGCCTTGTTTTGTCTTTCAGTAGCTGGATTGATATTTGGGACCTCTTGTCACAAGAATGCCGGGAAGAAGTTGTGTTGGTTGATGTGGATGGGTTACAAGACACATTAGATGCTTACCTCCGAAAACATAGGTAAAAAAAAAAATTTTCTCAGACTTTACATTGATTCAGAAAATTTGTGGGTTTCATCAAATCTTTGGGATATATATATATATATATATATATATATAACCTTGATTTCAGGACTGGTTTTAAACTAGTTTTTAAAATATTTACTGTTAATGTCAGGAAAGAAATGAAGCAGATTTATCTCCAATCAGTGGTTTGTTTGGAAACTATTTTCCAAGAATTGTACAATATTAATGAATCTTGAAATTTGGCACTAGAATTTCCATCTTTTGTAGTTTTCTGGCTCAGCTGTGAATGATTGAAATTTCTGCAGTTAAATATTGACAAAGCTATAGAAATAATTTTCTTTTACTAAAGACAAGGCATCTATTTACATTGTTTCTTTTGGTAATTTTGAACTTCATAATTCTGCTTGTTCCTCTGTTAGAATGTGTATTAACATCCTGCCATTACCTCCTAATAAATAATGGATTATTCTGTTTTGATTGGTATCCAAGAAAAAGATGCTAGACACTTTATTTTTAGTAAGAAAAAGTATGCATAGTAATACAAATACGAGGCAATTTTTTTTTTTTTTTTTTATAATGATGTAACAACTGTCATGATTGGAGATAGTGTTTTCATTATGAATTTAGTTAAAATTAAATGCTTATTGTAAACCACAAGATAGTTTTAGAGATGACCCAATATTGTTATAAATATAATTTCAAAAAGTGCACTTGCATGGTAAGAAGTATTTGAAATATCCCATCCTGGGTATGACGATAAACTACATTCAACAGAAAGGTCTCATATTTAAAAAAAAAAAAAAAAAAAGTTTACCAGCCATATACTGTTGTAGAAAAAAAAAATGCTCCCAAGATAATTAAATTTCTGTATTAAATGACCTATAAGGAGTTGCTATGCCACTAAACATACTCACACTCTTGAATTAAGTTTCAGCTACATTAAAAAAAAAAAAAAAAAAAAAATTGTCACTTCAACAAATTTATAAATTTGGATGTTTTTTTTTTTTTTTTTTTTTTTTTTTAACATAGTTTTGTTTGCTTTTCATCTTCACAGGTTTTGTGCAGAATGTAAGTCAAAAGTGTTAAAAGCATACAGTATTCTAATAATGGAAGTTGACTACACCAGTGAGACAGGTTATTGTCCATCTCTGTATGAACATCTACGTTGTTGTCCTCAGGAAAGGCATATTCATGTAGAGTGTGACACAGAGTTTCTCTCCAGGCTGATTGGCAGAGCAGAGCCAGAATTGGCAGGCAGGTAAGTCAGAACTTTTTATACTTGTATAGTCACAGATATTGTCATTTATTATTTCAACCTTGTTTGTATTTCCAGAATATATATATATATATATATATATTGTACACACACACACACACACATATATATATATATATATATATATATATATATATACACAGGAGGCACGGTGGATTAATGGATAGCGGTTTGGATTGAAGAATCGCAGAGCAGTTCGAATTCCAGTCGAATCCATTACATTCACTTACATGCTAATAACCTTGGGAAAGGTATGAGTCCTCTCCCTCCAGCTATGGGTAAAATAGCAGGACAGACTGGGTTCTATAGCCTTGGATGGCAACTGGTCTAGGAGAAGGTCACCTCTGAATTCAAAACCTGCGGAGGGTCGTTTGGGAACCTTGTGGCACTCGATGCACCAGGTCTTCGTATTCGTCCCTTCAAAAAGAGTGGATGGTCCTGCACGAAGCCTTCACCACTATAATCAAATCTCATTTGCTGGTGTCGAGCTGTCGGTTTCCTGGAAACTGATCTGCTTGACCCTCATGCATCGAATCTCGACGGGAGAGTCGACTAATATATATATATATATATATATATATATATATATGTGTGTATATAAAAGTGAACATAGAAGGCAACACTTAGAGGCGACAGTTTGTTTCATGCTATATGTCAGGCCTGACAATTGCATTTAGCACAAAACACTGTTGCCTCTAAGTGTTGGCTTCTATAGCGAGATAGATATGACGTTTGATAGATGCACAGAAAGAAAAAAAAAAACAAACCCTCATTCTAACACTAATAAGAGCATCACAACTAGTGCATAAATTAATTACATCAAACTTAGTATAAAGATAACAAAAAATGAAACCGCCTGTTTATTAATCAGCTTATGTATTTGAGAAACTTTACTAAAGAAAAATGCATTTCCCAGCAGGGATTGAACCTGCATTGTCTTTGCATTTTTCTTACGAAGATTTCTCTAATACACAGGCCAATAGACATAATACTTGCTATTTAATAAATAAAAAAAAAAATCAAGCATCTATTTTGAATGTAGAGTATCCACTATAACAACATTTGAAGTAATAGAAAATGTCCGATTTAAAGTTAATTCCATTAATTCTTTAGAAATACAGGGTGTCTCTCCCCCCCCCCCTTCCTCAAAAAAAAAGATAACTTAGCAAATTCTTGCTCAAATGATTTTTTTTTTTTTTTCTCAATGGGGTGATGTGAGAGGAAGGGATCTATATCCCCCCCTCCCATCTTCTTCCTACAAACACAGAGAAACTAAAGCAGAGAATCACTGAGGCACTGGGGAATGCTACAGCATGTTTGGCAGGAGCTGGCCTACTATCTTGACATGTGTCATGTCACAGGTGGTATGATATCTTGAATTTTTTTCATTTGCCTGGAACATGTTACTCAGATATTCACATTTAAAATTTTTTTTTTTTTTTTTTTTTTTTTGCGGTGGTGGGGATACCCTGTATATTGGATGGAGGGCCAACATTAGCCAAATTAATCCCTGATGACAATACATGGTCGGATAGTGTGAACAGATTCTGCAACACAATGCTTAGCTTCATCTGACACAAACGGTTTGCTTGGTAAGAATTACTGATGCTTACCTCTAAACATTAGTAGCTGAAATAACCACCTTTTTTGTCGACTGTACAAAAATTAGTCTGTTATAAGAGCAGATATCATTGTTGGCTTTTATCTCGTATCTAAGAATTTAATTTCTTCTTTGCTGATTGCTTCTTTCATGATGATGGCATTGATAACTAAATTTGCCACCAACATGCAGGTTCAGGATTAGAAGCTTCCAGTTGCACCAAAACCTGCTCCTGTCATCTCCTGTGACCCACACACTTTGTGACCTTCCCCTGCAGCACACATGGAATGAGACCTGCAAAATCCAGTTAAAAAACTGCAATGGATTGTTGCTGACTGTTATAATTTTGAGTGACTTTCTGTAGCATGTCCCTTATGTGTAGCCCTCTTCATCAGCTGGTTCAACTGTTGATATCTATTGTAATCATCATCCTGCTTTTTATTTGTACCCTCTTACTACTTTAAAAATGAACTACATTCATACACAGGATTGTTTATTGCAATATTAAATATTTAAAGTTAAGCTCAAATATTTTACAATGCAATAGTGAAATTACCTTGGATATACTATAGGTTGTGGAACTCTCAAAGAGCTTATATAATCATTAAATTAAGAATTGATTCATCAGAAAATTCATATAGGTAAACTATGAAATTTTTGCAGGTCATTCTAGTGAATGAAATTGCAGTCCTAATATGCTGCTTCCTTCTCTCCACCAAGTCACAAAAAAGGAAATAATGAAAATGTCTTTGTTTCTGTCCTTACAGCAGTCGCCGTGACCGGCATGCAAAGACTCTGGATATTGCACAAGAGGAGGTACTTACCTGTCTGGGGATCCATTTGCATGAACGCATGTACCGAATCTGGCGAGAGTTAAAAGCTGAAGAACAAACTTGGCAAATTCTGTTCTACTTGGGTATAAACGCTCTCAAAAAAGGCTTTGAGGTAAGGTCAGTGCTACCCAAATAGACGGGTCCACTTGTAAAAAGAAAATATTGGAAAATAATTTTTGTAGATTCATATATATGAGCTTCCTTAAGACACATCATTTTTCAGGAGTAAAAAAAAACAAAGAAAAAAGTATATATGCATAAAAGGGTTGTTCCTGTTTGTAAAATCAGTTCAGTGACTTTTTAAAGAGTTATCTGAACTTGTTTGTAACTTCAATTTTCTGAATTTTTAAACTTTAAAAACCTTTTATTTTGGAGGCACATATACAAACATTGGGAGAATAGTAATTATCTTAAAGAACAACATGTCTATACTTTTATAATATAATTCGAAGATTCCCTCCCTTTTTAATATTAAATATTCTTTGGAAATTCTTGAAGATAATAACCCTCTGGAATGCTAGGGAGCATTTTTTATATTTTTGGAGAAAATGGTGTGAGGGGGAAGGGATTAATTTTATTTTTTTTTTTTTTTTTTTTTTTTTTTTTATTACTGACTGGCAATTTTCTTAATGTACATATCTGGTTATTCTTTGAAAATCTTTATTTAAAAAAATTGTTTAGATATCTGACATAAGCATTTTCAGATATAACATGAGTAAATAAATAAAAAAAAAAAAAAAAAGCCAGGGATTGATTTTACAGTACTGATAAAGCAACTACTAAAAGTATATTTTTATTCTGAAAACTACTGCACTTTGACAGTCTAATCAAATGCTAATCTACAAAAATTATTTATCAAATATTTTTTTCTATTTTTGTGGACCCAGCTATTTAACTGGTGTTAGAAAGTCTTTCACTGAAGTGTTGCATGTTTGAGCATTTTGACAACACTGAGAATTATTACTTCTCACTTTGTATGGTGAATCAAGAATAAATTATTACAATCTTGATGCTTTCTTTCTTGAGGTTTGTCAACAAGAACAATTGCTTGGATTGAGTAATGTAAGTGGAAAGTGAGTAGTGATGTGCATTGAGGACAAAATGAAGACAAATGTCTTGTGTTGGTGGTTCTTAATTTTTCTTTTTGTCTTGTAGATGGAATTGGAAAGGAAACAAGGAGTGTCTAATCTGGAGTTAATGTGTGAAGAGTTACTAGAAGAGGAAAGAGTGAGAGAACAGAAGAGGGAGCTCAAGAGGGAGAAACGGAAAAAACGTAGAGCAAAAATCCAATTGTCAGAGGCCGACTTCCCAACGCACAGCAAACAACAAATGTCCTCAGAATGTAAGGTAAGCACATGGGGTGGAAAGAGGTGAATGAAACTTTTTATTTTTAATATACTTAAGTTTTCTGGTTTCTATTTTTCGATTTCAAGAACTGTCTTCACTATCACTGGTATAAACCCAATAAATTGCTTCTGCAAATTTGTACTGTTCTAATAATTGATGAGGCTCCAAATTATTTGTTTGCATAACCATAGCAATAAGAGCTTGAATTGTCATGTTTCTACCATCCCCTGACTTTTCTACAGCACACACACTCTAAGGCTTTATCTCACCTTGTATAAACTGTTGAGGTTAGTTGTGATCATAAAGTAAAAACATTTTGTAAACTGGATTGTCTTGCATGACCACATGAATGAAAGAAAGGAGGGAGCTATTTAAGGTTCTGTAAACAATACTTTGATTTTCTAATGGGACATTCCTGATAAGTCATCGTGGTGGTTTTTAATGTTGCTAATATGTAGAAAATGTTAAAAATGATAGATGTTGGATTTTGCACAATTTTTTAATTATCCATTACTAAAATTCAGTTTTAATGTTCATTGGTTCAGAATGAATGTCTTAAGATGTAAAAATTGTCATGCTTAAACATATAAGGAACTGTGACTGATGTTTCTCTGTCTATAACAATATTCACTAATTGTCAGGCAATTAGCAAATTAGCATAAAATGTTATGGTACTACTTGGAAAAAGTGTCATGTTACCATATCAATGGAATTTTGATATTTCATTCAGCTTATTCTTAGATATAGTTCATTAATAATACTAAAAATAATTAAAATGATGATCTCAGAAACTGACATGTGATAGTTGAAAAAAAACATTACTAAAGAAAATACAATACATAGACTTGCATGAAAAAATAGGCAAAAGCTCTTTCATAATGGCTTATAAAAGCTGAAAGCAGTTAAACTTTGGACATTTTTAGTTTGCCCTGGAATTAGAAAAATGTTTATTATAGAAAAATGAAGTATTAGCTGCTGTTGGTGTTAAACTGCACCTACTTAATATAAAAAAAAATCTTTCAGCATCCATGTTTGAGTGAAAGACAGTGTCTTTGAGAGAGAGTGAATCTTTTTATAGGTAATCATGTCTATCTTTTTGCAACAAACTAAAACTGATTAAGGCTTCTTGAATTAATGTAACAATCACTATCCTTAGTAAAAGATTCTTTGAATGGCAACCTAAACTCTTCAAGAAATGGTTAATTTTTTTTTTTTTTTCATTTCTTCCTTTCAGTGTGATAATAGTCCAAAGAAGAATTCTTCCCGTATCTACAGTGAGCGCTACAAAGGTTTAAGTTATGGAGATCCTGATGTAAAACTGATGTCCATTGAGAACTGTCCTCCTGCCGACCATGACCTATATTGCAAAGTCTCAAAGACTAAAGGGCCACCTTGCTGTGGCAAGAAAGTTTCCAATTCCAGATTGCCTCCTCACCAGCGAGAACAGTCTTCATCTCCTCCTTCACCTCCTTCCAGTTTGATGTTGCGATGTGGGGCAGGGGGTCGTAGCCGGTGTCCAGCTAGTGGTGGTGGGGGTGAAGAAGGTGATGATGAGGAAGATGAATATTACGACATGGTTCGATGCTGTGACTTGGTGCACAATGGGGACCACATGGGCACGTCTTCATCTTCGTCGTCATCTTCGACCACAAATTCTTCTAACTCGGTGACCTCAACGTATCCGACTAGCAATGGTAGTGACTGTGGTTACTCATCAGGGGCAGAAGGCTGTGAAAATTGTGGCCTACAAGGGTCCACTGACAACACAGATGTGATGTGCTTGGACGATTATATTCCACAACAAGGTTAGTAATTTTGTTTCTCTTCACTTTTTTTGACAGTATTTTCCTTCTCTTAGATGACCATGTTTCCAAATTAAGATTCTATCTAAGTGAGTTTGGGAATTTTGTTTTTCTTCTCCTAGATCAGTTGGCAACCAATGCTGAAGAGTCTAATTTGCCTTGCTATTTAATCCACAGCTGAGAGAATCTTAAAGGTTTTAATCTAATTTTATTGCATCCATTATTAACATACGTTTTAGTAAATAATTTACCCTGAAGGCTGTAAGCATTTTAGTGTATTCATCTTGATCTTTTAATTCATAACTTAAAAAGTTTTATTTCTATATGAAATTTTATGAGCTTTGTAGACTTAAGTTATATATATATATATATAATGAATAAAATGGATTAAGTAAAAGTTTAATATATTTTCTGTTTATATCTTATTTTTATAGATACAATTTAAGTAAATGCTTTGATTTTTAGTTAAACTGTATTAATTACATTTACCAACCTGAATATTCAAGACATTTCATAGAAAATAGGCATTCTCTGACAGGAATCAAACTTGTATTTCTATATGGAAACAGTCATTTGACTTGACATGCTGTCATTCGGCTACATGGAAGCATCTGGTTAGCAAAGTCTGAATTACTGTATAACCATTGATATTTGGTAACCATTTAGGATTGCAGTTAAGTTTTACAATATAATATTCATGTAGCTAACAGCAAAATCAGATGTGGTGTTTAACCCCTTGGACTCAGAAATCTGAACTCTTGCAGAACTGCTTCCTTTTACACTTCTGAACAACTGGTTTGACCAGAATCTCAATCCGTCTTCAGACATTTTGATTTATTAACAAAATTCACCCTCTTCCTAAGGATATGGACTATAAATTTGAGATTTATGCTTTTACTGGTAAAGTGTTAATATGGATTAATCTTTTCATTACTGCAATACGATGACTGTTCCCAGTTGATCAAGCCTCAAAATTCACACATTACATGTAATTGTTTCTGTTTTATTACCAAAAAGGCATCCTTAAAATGACTTTCCCAATTTTGGCATATTCCTCACTTATTAAGTCCTTTTTTTTTTTTTTTTTTTTCTCTCTCTATCTCATATGAATACATGAGTATAAATATGAAATTTCAGCTGAGATCACTCTGTATTCACTTCAATTGACAAATGAATAATTTCCAAAATAATTTTATATGTACAAGTAATACTGCATTTCAAGGAGATAAGTTACCAGTGAAATTACATTGACATAATGTCATTAGAATTTAAAGTAACCGAAGCAAAGACAATGTTTTAATTTTTTACACATCTCTCTAATATCTTGTTTATGGTACCATGTAACCGAGTACTATCTTCTGCATGGTTTGGTCAAAAGCAACTAAACCAGTTCCTCCACCAGGCTTTTCTGGTGAGAAGATTGACTAGACACGCAACAGGATTACACAAGACCTGTCAAAATGTAGGTGGACTCTAGTAGTGTAAACAGTCATTTAACAAATTGGGATAGGCTGGGCTCACTAGTTATGGATGCAACCAGTGCAGTGATAACACTGCATCATTGGAACTGAAGTCGAAGGTAAAAGTTCATCTCGGTGGAATCAATTTTTGGATGTCTGTGACCAAGACAAGCCTTCAAGTTGTCAGACATTGATTTCAGTTTGACCTGGAGAGGGAAGATGCCCGCCATACCCCCCCCTCTCTCTCTCTCTTCTCCTTCTTCAGAGATGTCATAAGTATAAAGTTCAAAAAGATTTTAGAAAGAACTGGAAACCCAATCCTAAACAGGAAACAAGGGATAAACCTCTACATTATTCAAAAGTGCCAAAGCCATGTCATAACATGCTATGCCTGAATGAATCTCTCCAGCTTCCAACCCATATCTGTACACCTGGTCATAGCTTGGCTAAATAAAATATTTATGAATTTCTATTTGATACTCTGAAGATACTATATCTTAGGTACAGAGATCGCTAAAAAAGCGTATAGTCTGATGAAAAAAGGCGTCAAATGGACGAAAAAAACAAAATTTTATGCCAAAATATATTTACTAAAGAACAAATAATTTTAATTATTTTTAAAAATTACAACATTTAACTTTGATTGAAAAACCTTGTTTTCGTCATTTGGAACTCTGTAAAGATATCGATGCATTTTTTTCTTATGACACACATTAATTTTGAAAATCTTGAAAAAATAGAAATAATTGGATTTTAATGAAACTTTCAGAAACTATTCAGAAATGATGGAAATTATTATAAATATGTTATTTTTTTAAAACAAAAATATATTTTTTATACATATATTAACCCCCATAAATGGAAATTAAAACTGTAAACTGGATGAACAGGGAAGTCATTATATTAATAAAAACACAAGGCTTTGAGGAAAATAAATCAGGTTTTCCAAAATCCGAACTCGTGAAAATCACCTACAAACCCAATAAAACAAAAAACTATTTAATTTTAAAGCTTTTAGTTGCTTTTTATTTGTTTTTATCAATATGCATAATGTTGTCTGAAGGCAAAAAACTTTTTCAATGAAAAATGAATTTTTAAATGAATTAATTGTTATTTAATAAATTATTTTATTATTTTTTACATAAAGTTAGTAAAAAGTTGTTAAATATAAAATTAGCGAATCCTGTATAAATTTTAGGTACCTATATCTGTACAAAAAATAATGGTTTTTACAATTCAAGAATACTGGCCATGTGTAGAAAAAAAAAACCTTAAATCAAATAGACTGGAAGAAACATTAAAAACATCACATGACTTGATTTGTACGGCACTGTTAACGGCCTTTATATTTATATAAAATTACATAATTTTCAGCATTCCTGAAATTCATGTTATTTTTACAAAATTAATCCCCTCCCCCTTAAATAAAAATCACATATTTGTTCTAAAGTTCCGGTGATGAACGGAAGATTTTTCAATCAAAAGTTAAACGTTCTAATAAAGACAGAAAATTTTTTAAAAAAATGAAAAAATTACTTTGTTTCCCCTTAATAAGTTTAAACATTTTGTAATAAAATTCTGATTTAAGACTGTTTTTCATGGTATGACTACATCAAGTTGGTAAAATAAATTGAAACTATAAATTTCAAAGCTAATGAAAAGTTGACTTGTCATTTTAACTAGGTTCAGAAGGTGTCCCATTTGAAAAAAACATGTTTTCATCACAGAAAATAAGCAATCTTTTGTTTTTACTAAATAAACTTTCTAATCTTTTTTTAAATTAGTTAAAAAAAATGATAATTGCATGCAACATTCACTTTTTTAAACAAAGCGTCAAAAAACAACGATTCCAAGGCGATTCAAAAAATTGAAGATTTTAACTGAAAAGAAAATTAAAAAATTTTAAAAATATTCAAAAAATAATGATCATTCCTCTTGATAAAAACGATAAAATTATTTTAATCAAATTGAATTTCACCAGTCGATCTCATGCACATACCTACATATCTGATGGTTAGTTCTACTAATTAACCCATAGTTGGGAGATGTTCATTCAAGGATATTTAAAAACAAGTGAATATAACAAACATGGCTGAAATTGGAACTCCACTCCTTAATTTCCAAGCCATTATCCACTGCATCACCTGCACATCTAAGTTTACAGCACCTGGTGTTCTGTCACTAAGTTTTGACTAAGATGATCATGTTACAAAAACTAATGTTTCAACATATGCCATAAACCTCAAATAGACCAGGCATTTTCTCGGTGATAATGGATATTCATGTTTTTTTACATCCACTCCCCCTTACCCATCACATATAAAACATTACTTCAGTCTGAACTTCTACAGGACAAAATGTTTTTTCCACTTTTTCATTTGTCTAAGACTGGAGTCATCAAGGTGAAAACTAAAGCTAATGAACAGTTGACCATTAACTAGGAAAGGTGTCTGGATTGTTTTGTATGCAATTCATGCATGATGACATGGTTTTGGAGAACAGAACAGATTCATATTTCTAAATACAAATGAAAGTTCATCTATGCCTGGTCAAGGAAAAAAGATACAAAAGCTGTTTTTGGCAATCAAGGCTACATATAACTCAGTACAAGTGACCATGGTAAGCTTTCCAAGGCTTTTCTGGTGAAGATGGGCCATTAATTTTAGGTTTAAAAAATAAGATGTAGATAAAAGGGATGGACATTTGCCAGATTAAACTTTAGTTATGTATGCAGCTCATGCAGTGATGACATGGTTTACCCCAGAGGTTTTCATACTTGAGGTTTGGCAAGGAAAATTTCTTTTTGGAATCATAAAGGAAAAATCCTTTTGAAGTTTTCCCCCAATTTTAGTTTTGAAAGGGAAAGGATTAAACTATTACCTCCAAAAATTTCCTTGAAAAAAAAAAAAAATCCTTTTTTGGGGCTTTAATTGAAAAGTAAAGGATTAAATTTTTTTCAAAAAAACAGAAATTTGAATGAGTTTTAGTTGATTCTTCTGAAAAACCAATCAAAACAGCCATTTCTAACTTTTCTAGAGAAGTCTAAACAGAGCTTATTTTTTTCGTTTTGAAAATCCCGCTAAAATAAAATATGTTTATGAAATGTTACTTTCATAAAATTAACACATTTAAAGTTAAATTAATCTGTTCTGAAACAAATATCACTTGTAGCGTAAAATTTTCTAGGCAAACATTTCTTGACTTCGAGATCTTATTTTTCACATCTCCATCGATAATTTTATGGCTGAATGTGTTGACAGGTTTAGTATGGTGCACCAGAATTAACATAAATTTACGAATTCTAAGTAAGAATTTTTTTTTTCTTAGAAAAACATTTTCTTTAAAATACCATAAAAATTTTTCTTTAAAGTACCATAACTTCTTACATTTATTGAGTTACCTCTATAATGGTATTTCATTATTTAATTGCTAAGATAATGATAATTTTATTAATATTACATTAAGCTATTACATTTTTAATTTAATAACTGAGATAATTAATAAAATTGTATTAATAATTATCTCACTCAGCTATTGTTTAAATTGATAAGATAATTTTATTATCTTAATTTAATAACTATCTTACTCTCAATTATTAAATTTCTAAATTGGTAATTGTAAGAATTTCCAAATGGTGTTTTTCACTGGAAACTGCTACACTAAAAATGCCCATTACCACAACTCTTACAAAGTTGACAAAGATTTTTGACCCAAATTTAGAACATGTTAGAGGGGAAAAAAATTTAAAAATAATAAAAAAAAAAACTGTGTTTCCTCTTAATAACATAAACATTTTGACATTAAAAAACTTTTTTTGTGGTGGTGGGGGGGGTACCTACGCTATACATGACTCTCCCTTGGACTTTCAAACCAGATATGTGGAGGGAACAAAAGTATGTGTGTGTCTCTCTCTCTCTCTCTCTCTCTCTGTTGCTCTTCTACAAGGAAAGCAGATATAACTACCCTTGACTGTCATCATCATTTGAAGTAATAAAAGGTCTGCATGTGACAAGATCTTTTCAAAGCAAGTTGTGGCTGTATTGAGCAGAATTTGACACTGCCCTTTATCTTGGAACAATAAAAATTTCAGGAGACCAACAGCAGTTGTGGCTTGCCTAGCCTTTCAAATGCACCTTTGACTCCATCCAGACACCTAATCTGTGGCAATTTCTATACTTATCTGGATTCTACAGGCTTTTTGCATGCACACAGCAAAATGGGTCAAAGTGTTAAATCTATTCAACTTTTACATAGATCGCATATAGCCTTTAAACTGGTTATTGCTGGTCTCATTTGTACTGTCTGTACCACTCGGTCCAGGGATTGAACTTCTAATTACTATGCCACCAAATCCATAGATCACTGCTTCGATCTTTTAGTCCCAACTGTAAATAATTCTTCATCCCCCAAATTCTCTACACAGATGGATCAAAAATCCTAGATAGAATAGGCACAGCAGCCACAGACGAATTTGCAAACTAGGCTACCAAATAATGCATGCATCTACACAGCCATGAAAATGGTACTTAAAATGATAGAAAATTTAAAAGCTAGGGAGTCAGAATACTATAATTTTCTTATCTAGTTTAACAGAAACTTGTCATCATTTAATAAAGCACAAAACAATAATATTGGCCTGGATTCTTAGCCATTTGGGCATCAAGGTAAATCATGAAGCAGACACCCTAGTAAAAGGGGGCAATGAAAATAACCAACATCAAACTCCCATATGCAGATTATAAAAAGAAAATTACACAAACATCAAAAGAAAATGGCTAGCAATTTGGGACATTTTCCTAAACAAACTGTATGAGCATCATCCAACAATAAGAAAGGAGATAGCCATTAGCTGATCAGACAAGACGGTGCTCAACAGAATGAGAGGGTGGGTGCACACACACATACACACACGAATGTACACATGCTCAAGGAAGAAACTACGCCTTGGTGTACCCACTGCAATCAATTTCTCAGTCAAACTATTGATAGAATGTAAGAACAAAAAAAAAATACATAGCAACTATTACCAAACACAAAATTTTAACCGGCTCTTCAAAAATGTCCCTACTGACCAAATAGGATATCTGGAAACGAATACATCCCACTTCTCTAGAAAATAGCTTCGATTTTGAACCATACAACTTGGTTTGAAATACTCCCAAAATATACAACTTGTGATATATAAAGCAATCTTAAAACCTCACAACCACTTGAAACATTTTGAAACATTCCTGAATAAAAATCCAATTTCAGCATTAAATGACTCTTGGGATTTTGATATGCTGGTAAAAACAATCAATCATCCCAGAAATTTACACAGATGGCTTGCTATTTTGAAATATTCCAATGGGAACCAATTAGGTAAACTGTATACTTGTAAAAGACCTAGAATTTGCAGATAATGTTGCACTTGTTGATAATGTTTCAATCTTGCAATGCAGGATAAGCTCACGGATAATGCAGCAGAAGTCTTTGAGTTTGAAGCCGAGTTCAACAAAATGCAATGTTCTCTTGCAAGACTGAAGGATATATGGTCAGTATTAATGAAATAACACCAAAGTTTGATTCCTTGACAGTGAGGTCATATCTGGTGAGGCTCTACGAGAGGTGATGTCAAGGGTAGTAAAGACTCTTTTTTAACCTCCAAAAAACTTGACTAGTGATGGAAGAGATATTAATCATTGTCACCAAGAGAAGAATCTACTTCAGTGGCTTGCTTCAGCTTGTGTGACATTGTCTGCTACATGAAGCTAGTATAGATGTATTTGCTAGTATATATGTTAAGCAACATTGAGCCTGGTCAGTATTTAGGTTGGTAACTGCTTGGGAATACTGGGTGCTTTAAGCTTGGATATGCAGGTAGTGTAATAACTGCTCAGAATTGGAAATCTGAGAGAAGAGTTCTAATTCCAGTCAGGTTTGTTATATTCACTTACATGAAAATTCCCTTGGAAAAGGTAGGAATCCACCTCTTGTATCAGTAAATCATTATCTACAAAAAATTCTTACAATCTAAAATAAATTTCCTGTCTTTAAATAAACAGCAAAAATTTGATAAGCATTAAAAAGAAAAAAACTCAATCCTCCATTTTGTGTAGTTGTCATGAGTAAACTAACTAGGATATGTTCTCTGGATACCATTCAAAAGTTTTCTTTTAATCTTCCTTATGATCTAGCCAAGGTCATCTTGATGCAGGAATGTAAGGAGAAAAGGACCCATCTGCTTGGCTGACAATGTTGAAAGATCTTTTCAGGAACATGGTAGTGGAAATTGGATCTCTTAGCATATTTAGTAGCTAACAACATTGTCCAAGCAAATACAAAATGCAATCTACCTTTTTGAATAACCTAACAAATGACTAATTTTAAAATTACTTATAGAAATACAATATTTATTTATTTTAATTTTTTAACTTTTTCTTCCTCTTCTCTTCAGGTGACTGTGATGGTCTGTCAAATTCTGAGTGTCTGGGACTCTCTTCATGTACTAATTGTCGAGGAAGTAGAGGCTCAACACATAAGAACCCATCTTCTCCAGAACAGGTAATAATTTAGATTTTCATGTATCTTCAAACTTCTGAATCACGCAAATAAATGTAAAAATAATTGTAATATTAAAGTGATAATGTATATTATTGGATATAAATATGATAGTGGAGTTGGGGTAACTGTCTGAATTTAATAAATTTTGTCACAGCTATTTCAAAAGGAATGAGATTTAGAAAAAAAATATTAACTGAAGTAAAAATTTATAAAATAGACTGCAAAGAAAGTCTCGAGCAATTCCTAGATAAGACATCTAGGAATTTAAATAAGATTGTATGACCTTTTACAAAAACCATACACTCATTGCATTATTTGTTAATATAAGTCTGACTATAAATCATATCTATTTTAATTAAAATTACATTGTGTGTGTTATAAAAATTTATGTGTGTGTGTCTGCAACTGTGTGTGTCTGTGTGTGTGTGTGTGTGTGTGTGTGTGTGTGTGTGTGTGTGTGTGTGTGTGTGTGTGTGTGTGTGTCTCTCTGTGTGTGTGTGTGTGTCTGTGTGTGTGTGTGTGTGTGTGTCTGTGTGTGTGTCTGTGTGTGTGTGTGTGTGTGTGTGTGTGTGTGTGTCTGTGTGTGTGTGTGTGTGTGTCTGTGTGTGTGTGTGTGTGTCTCTGTCTCACTCTGTGTGTGTGTGTGTGTGTGTGTCTCTGTGTGTGTGTGTGTGTGTGTGTGTGTGTCTCTCTCTGTGTGTGTGTGTCTGTGTGTCTGTGTGTGTGTTGTGTGTGTGTGTGTCTCTCTCTGTGTGTGTGTGTGTGTGTGTGTCTCTCACTTTCTGTGTGTGTGTGTCTGTCTGTGTGTGTGTGTGTGTGTGTCTCTCTCTCTGTGTGTGTGTGTGTGTGTGTCTCTCTGTTCTGTGTGTGTGTGTGTGTGTCTCTGTGTCTCTCACCTGTGTGTGTGTGTGTGTGTCTCTCTCTGTGAAGGGATGAAAATTTTGAAAACTTGTGATTCAAAATTGTCTTAAAAATTCAAAATATAAATTTTCATTTCAGTGTAAGCAGATGAATAACAGAAGTGAATGCTGCTTGCAAAAACGATTAGACTTGGGACAGCACAAAATGACTTTATCATTGCAGGCCATGTTAGATGTTTGGACTTTCTCATATCTGTTTAAAAAACTCTCATATTCTCGGCTGATTCTTGAATCCCCTGACTCCAGATATTCATAGGCTATTTTTTTTTATTGACCCCTTTTCAGACGTTGCTAATCGTTAACTCATCAGGAGATGTCTTAATCTTGACCCCCTTATTTGTAATAGCTAATTTTTCTTAATAGGTGGATGACAAATACATGTTTTTATCCCCACATGATTTTCTTTTGTTTTTCAGGTCATCTGGATAAATCTCGGCCTTGTGTCATCTCTTACTGCGTGGGACGAGAAAAATGAATACAGCCTACTTTCACTTTTTTTGAATCCTTTACCCCCCGCTTGCGGTTTTCACGGATGCAACTGACAGGGTCTTCATTCATAAAAACTGAAAAAAACGTATTATTTTCGTTCGGACATTTGTTTCAACATTTTTTTTAAACAATCTGTTTTTTCTTTTTTTTTTTTTTTTTACTAAGAGGGTCGGGGCCAAGATTTCTTTTTTGTCCAAATTTCTCTTAACTCAATCAAGCCCAACGAGTAAATTGTAATTGATCTCAAAAGTATATCAACGCCCTAAAACCATTTTTCTCTCGTCCTCTCTCTCTCAGTGATTTTGGGTTCTCTCTCTCTATTTTCTTCCCCCTATCTGTTCTATGCCTCTCTCTATTTGTTGGATTCTTAAAAAAAAACTCTCTCACGTCCCCCCCAATCTCTCTCTTATTCTAATCATCCTTTTGTTCTTTCTTACTGTCCCCCTCTCTTTTTGTTCCTGTCACTTTGTTGTGTTACTAATCAATCTTCTCTTCGTCCCCCTTTCTCAGTTGTCCCCCCTCTCTCTCTCGTCGTCCCTGGTTTTTCATTTTTTTTGTTTGTTTTAAATTTCTCCCACGACAAAGTAAAATAATATAGATTTGTTTCTGAATGATCTTTTTTAGTTTTTAAATGAAATTAAACTTTTTCTTTTTTTCTCGTTATTCATCCATTTTTTTTGGATTTTCGTTTCACTGCCTCTTTTTCCTTTTCTTCTTTTTTTTTTTTTTTTTGTTGGCTGGGTGGTTGTGTGTATATATTTGTAAAAATAAAAGTAGATGCCTCCATTTAAAAAGCTAAAACATTACAAATACCTTTCACCTAACTAAAACACTTTTTCTTTAAGTTTTTTTTTTTTTACAATATTTTGAATATGGAACGGAATTCTTACAATTAAAACTTTCGAGTAAAAAAAAAAGCTGAATGTATAATTACATCGTTAAATGGTTTGGCAACAATTTGTTTCATAACTTACATTATTTTAAAATTAGTACTTATAAAAAACAATCTTCAAAAGGATTTGTTTTTTTTCTTATGTTCTGCAAAAAAAAAAAAAATATTTTTTTAATTTTCTTTAAACTGAATAGAATATTTGATCCAGGTTGGTTAAGCAGAATTTTAATTATTTTTTTTTTTTTTTTTTATTTTTTTTTTTTTATTTGGAACTTTCGTTTTCTACAACCACTTAAGAAATTATTTAGAATATGAAACAATTCTTTTCTTAGACTTTAACTTTTTTTTTCTCTCTACCCTTCAGATTGATTGGCTTTGCAATTTTTACTTAAAATTCATCTGTATGCAGTCTCTCAATCTTTTTGGCTGTGTTTTGTCCACTTAGGTGGGTCGATTTAGTGTTTGCTGTGTTCAAGTAGAAGCCAACTGTTTAAACAGATTTTTCTGTTGGTCACACAACTCCTGTTATTTCTGTTTACTACTCCCCCCCACCCCCATTTCTTAAGTTATTTGAAAGAAACCAATTTGATGGTAGATTCATTGGTAAGTTTGTGTCACGGTTTTGCCAATAAGCAAATCACTTGGCTGTTTAACTCTGTTAATGCAATGAATTATTAGGTTGGAAGGTCTACAAAAAGTACCACATTGAGGATTTGTTTTATTCCCCCCCATCCAAAAGAAAGGAAAAAAAAGATCTTACATTTTATGTATTAGAAAAAAGCCATTTAACAAGCTATTTGGACTAATATTTTCCATATATAGGATATAGTATAAATATAATGTGGAATGTATAGATATAGTGTTTTACAAAAATGAAGAAAATTTTGAGTTGGCGTTAAAAATAAAGAATTTCTTGAAAATGAGAGCTTGGTTTTAAGTACTCTCCTCCTTTTCACCTCTTAAATCTTCCAAAAATGAAAGGTTCTTTCTGTTTTGAAGACCTCATAATATTTCACATAAAATTTGATCTTTTCCAAAAACATATCCATTTTTTAAAATTGTTCACCATTGCCAATTTGGCATTTATGGTCTTCCTTATAAACAAGGGATGCGAAAAAAACTGTTTGCTTTGAAATAGTTGTTTGCAACTATGAGGTTAAAACTTACAATGAAAAATTTTGACATTTTCAAATTTGATGCACTTCACTTTAAAAAAAACCCTCCAACATTACAATATTTTTTTTTTTTTTTTTTTTTTTTTTTGTGTATAAATTAATAAATATTGGGCAGTAAAAAAAATGCTATATAGTTATAATTCTAATTCTTTAAAATACACATAGTTGACCCCCCCCTAAATTCTGCATAGTTTAGAATTTTGTTTATACCATTAACTGTTTTCACATAAGAATTTTTTTAAGTAGAAGTAATACAAAACAAAAGATATTACCAACCTGTTATAACTGCTTTTAAGATATTCCATTGTTATGGTAAAATTAATATTTGTTACATAAAAAAACATTACATATAAATATTTGTAATTGATATCAAGTTTCATTTATGGTTTGCATTCATACGGGATTTATATATATATATCCTATTTAATGATTTCTTCATCCAAGTTCTCCTATTACCACTGGTACTGTTTCTTGATCATTTTATTATTTTGGGAAACTGAACCAGGGAGTTTAAATGCAAAACAAAGATTGCAGCAATTCAACAAATTAATTTATTTCTTTTTTTTTTTTTTTTTCTTTTCTTCTTCCCCAAAACAATGAAAATGTCTCTCCTAAATTAGGAAAATGAAAAAAAACAATTTCTAAGAGGGGTGGGCAAATTTGATAATGAAAATCCAGTTTTATTCAAAAAAATTTCAATTTTTTTTTTTTTTTTTTTTTCTTTCCTTTGTCTTTTTTGAACAGTTAGGCCATTTTTTTGTAGTCATCTTGTTGGATTAAAATGAATTTTTGAACACTGGATGTTTCTAAAGTTTCATGTAGTTTAGAAAATTATAAAAATATCCAGTTTTGTTCAAATATGCTTCTGAATTTTTTTTTTAAGTTGTGCATTGTCCACATATGCATTAATTCCTATTTCTCTCTCTCTCTCTCTCTGTTCAAAAAATGAAATTCTACTTTTCCATGGAAAAATGGGAGTATCATTGTAAAATAAAATCACATTTAAAATAAATAAAAAATATATAAAAATCATATTTTATTTTGTTAAACATTGGTAGGTGTAGTGGCTCAGCTAGTAAAGTTATTACTTTAACAAAGTTACTGATTCATATCCATATGTAGATTTTTTTTTTTTTTTTTATTGAGATATATTATATATACCATGTTTATATTTTATTCCTGTTGTTGTAGTCAAGAATTGAAGAATCTAAAACCAGTATATATAAATGACTAAAAAAAAATTTTTTTTATATAATCTTGTAGGACTCTTTTATAATTTTAAAATCTTTATATTATATAACCATATCCAATCTGTCTGCCTTGTTTTCAAGGTTCATAATTGGTAACAAAAAGACATCTAATTTGAAAAATTTTTAAATCTAAAAAATGGAATAAATGTATCAGAAGAAACTTGGCATTTTTTTTTTTAATTTTAAAAATTCATTTATACAAAAAGGGGCAAATTGTTGCCAGCCAGCTTCAAAATTTTTTCATATACTCTTCACCAATAATTTTAGAAAGGATAAACCTCCCACCTAAATGAAGTAAGAGAGGATAAAAGGTGGATACATAAATAATCTGGTATTTTTCAGATTCTGAAAAAAAATCTAAAAACTGAAATTTTTTTCTCTTATCATGGCATGTAATAGAGTTGTTTAACTGATGAATTGGATGCAAAATTAATGGCTATCCATTAGGTCAAAAAATTTGATGTTGATTGTTTTTTTTTGTAATAAATTTTTTTTTTTTTTAATTAATCATCCATAAATCAAAAGTATAGATATATAATACTAAATTTTAAATTGAGATTATATCTTTATTATTGATTTTTTATGTAAAAGTTAGATGATTGTCCATTGCTGTTACATTTTTGTTATGATAAGAAATTTTAAAAATAAACATGTTAACAGTCAATATTTTTTTCTCTGGTTTCCTCTACCACGTTTGCAAAATGCAAGATAAATTTGACAACTGTAAAAAATTTTGGCATAAATTGTTATGTAATAACATCTAACAAATAACTATGGCAGGTGTTTCTTTTGAATATATTTTAAGCTATACAATCTCCAGTCAGTTATATTATATACGGGTAAAAAAGTACCGGTTTGGTACTTGTGTTTGGAGGGCAAATGTATGATCAGCTATCCTAATCTTTAGAAACAAATTACCAACACAATTCAGACAATTCTCTTCTTAATTTGCCTTTATAAAATGAACTTTTTACGTTGTTTAAAAAGTAATTTATTAAGAACAAATGTTCGGACATGTAATGTTTTAATGTATATTATATATATATATATATATTACATGATTTAAATATAATACACACATATATATAATTTATATATGTATTGATTTGGGGCTGGCTATTGATATTGCAATGGATAAACCCCAAATTCAGCCTTCTCCAGAATTTGAATCTTATAAATTTTTGTTTTTTTCCTCTTTTAATATCCATGCCTTTTTTTTTTTTTTTTTAAAATTTGAAAACTGTGATTGCTAGCTTCATTTCTTTGTCCAAACAAAAAAAACTGCCCCACAATACCTGTTACACAATTGCCCAGTTTTGCATTGAATAATAAACATTTGCCAGGGGGCTGCACAAAAATGTTGTGTGGTGTATAATTAATTTTTCTTTGATTTATATTTTCCTTCCAAATATACCATCTTCAAAAAAAATCCTCCTTTTAAAATACCTGCCCCAGATTATTTTTTATTTTTTCCCCATTTCCGGGTTATAATTAAAATGAGGATATCATAAGCATCATTTACTGGCAGATAATGAAATGTGTAATGATAATATTAATATGGAAAAAAAATTAAATTTAATTATAAATTGGAAAAAATTAAAAATAAATGAAAAATAAAAGTTAAATGGAATCAACAACCCCCTTTTCCTAAAATGATGAAAAATAAAAAATCATTTTTTCAAATTTGAGATCATTAAAAACATGCCTCCTCCAATTTGGTTGATAAAAGCAAAAAATGACATTTTAATTTCTATAAAATGAAATAAAAAAAAGGAAAAATTCTAAAATTTTAATTTTTGTCTATTTTTGTTTGTTTTTTATATGATTTTTTTATTTTTTTTTTTTTTACCTTGTACAAACATTTCATCCAAGGGAATGAAAATGGAACTGATGATCTAGTATATATAAAATATATACAACTGAATTAGGTTTTATGATTGAAATTATCTGGCAAAAATTTGGAACCTGTCAGTGGTTAGGTATATATTAACTGAATACCAAAATGTTAGAATGAATACATAAACTGGAAAATAACCTAATTGTCTAGCTGATGAATAAAGAGAAATTTTATACAAGGAAACAGAATTTAAGAAACGGG